TACTAGACTTGGGGAGCTTTTGAACTAAAGCGTAAGAGCCAGCTGTTTTAATTGAACTGGTTCGATACAAGGGTGTCGCTACGTAGGGGAAGCGGGGGGGCTCCCCCCTAGACTTTGAAGTTTATCTTATATGTAGGTATACAATCTTCGATTATTACCGCAGCGACCACAAAAATGCAGTTGCCAATATAGCAACTCAGTTGCCATCTGTAAAACCATTTCAGCCAGTGGCCACCCAACTGAAGTGCGGTTGCCATATGCCTAAGTCGGTTCAGCTCGATGTTCTGGTCACATACATAAGTGCACATTTTCATGAGTCTATCTCTTCTTATTCTGGTACTTACAAATATCAGACGAAAGTTATAATACCATTTCATGCTCATGAAAGGTACAGTTTTCTGATTTCAAATCGGTGAAGTAGGTAACAAAATATAAATTTAAACATATTCTTAACTTCTTCCCAGCGTATCTATTAAAATGTCATTTTCAAAAACTTCAAGCATTGCCATGCATTCCATCTCAAACATACTGTTATATCATGTAATTTCTTCTTAGCTCAGCTTTTGTTTGCTGTTGTGTTTCTGCACCATATTTTTAATACTGTTTATTCCTGGCTTGTATGAAAATGTATATAGCAGGGGTGGGCTAGGCCGAGGCCGAAAAGAGCCACATATAAGTTCTAAATGCTACAAAGAGCCACAAAAAAGAACAAGAAAAATAAAAATTTTATTTATAAATAAAATTATTAGAAATGAAAAACATTACTTTTATTATTATTCTATTGTACGTAAGATAGATATAAAAGAAAATTCAAAAGATCCCTTTGGCGAGATTTTCAAAATCTGGTTTTAGGTCAGTTAAAGCCGTTCGTAACAATTCTGTTAAATGTTGGATAGTCAATAAGTACGTTCGTTTAAAATCTCCGGTAAAAAATGTGCAACAGCGAAATTCCGGCGAAATGTCATCTGTTAGCTCACAAGAGAAAAATATCCAAAATAGTACGCGAACAGAAAATTTGCAGAAACTTGCAAATTAGGCGAACAGCTGATAGAAATATTGTTTACATTCAAAAAAATTTAAAACGTAAGAAAACAAATCTCGAAGTCTTAAAGCATAAACAGACGGCAGCGTTGATCCGGATCAACCCGGAAATTAACTGCAGTTGATCCGGATTAAGTCCGAGTAAATCCGGATCAACGATGTCGTCTGTTTAAGCTTTTATCCTGACACAGTTCATGGAATAAACGAACAATTACTTACTTCTTATAAGTTTTATTAGTCGCATTTTACTATTTTAACTTCCAAACCATCAAATTAAATTTAGGGATTTGCGTAAATTCCGACCAGCAGTTTTTGATCAGCTGTTTTCTTGTAGGCAAATTGCTGGAGGCAAAAATTTTTCCAGCAGAAACTAGCAGAGTTCCCTCAAATAAAATGTCATTTTGCTCTCTCAATTTCCCTACTTTGCAAGTTTTTTGCGTACGCGAACTCAAAAAGCTGATAATTTTTATAACTTTCAATAATTAACAAGTACGCGAAAGCAACTAATTGTGAACGGTATTTTTACTTTACGAATTTTATTGTAGAGTACAAAGACTGACAGTTATACGTTGTACCAAAAACATCAATGTTTCTTCTTTTGCTTTTCTTAAAAACAAGTATTTCGGATATTGTAAATGCATCCTCAATTATGTAGCATAAACAAGTAAGAGCAGCGCTGTCTTCGGCTATGCCGAAGGCTTCATACCTTTCATGAACATCTGCAATTTTTAGTTTGACAGATTACTGATTTTGAATACATCTGCATACATCGATAGAGGAGTTACATACTTATATAAAAAATCGCATCTAAACAATCAGAGGTATGGAAGATATACTTTATATGGCACCAATCTAAGTGATTTTCACTGCTATGTGATCGGTATGTAAACCGGTAACACAATTTATTGGGTTTAGTTTCCTACATAAAGGAGATATATCGCAAAAAGTGGTGTCTGAATAATCAGTGCTATAGGAGATAAAGCTTATAGNCACAATTTATTGGGTTTAGCTTCCTACATAAAGGAGATATATCGCAAAAAGTGGTGTCTGAATAATCAGTGCTATAGGAGATAAAGCTTATACAGCATAGATTTTGACGATTTTCTCAGTAGACTTTGTATTATTATTTATAAAATATCTTACGAAATTTATCGGTTTTAGCTGTTCAAATAAAGGAGTTTTACAGTAAAATCCCATATCTGAACAATCAGATGTATGGAAGATATATGTTGTAGTCATCCGATCCTTGTTATTTTCACTGTAAGTATTCTGTTGATAATGAGTGAAAATGGTGCGAAATTTCATGTTCCTAGCTGCATAAATGGAGGAGTTATGATAAAAGACCTCATATCTGAACAATCAGTTGTATGGGGGCTGCAGGTTATAGTGACCCGATCTTTGTTATTTTCACTGTAAGTCTTCTGTTGATAATGAGTGAAAACAGCGCGAAATTTCATGGTCCTAGCTACATAAATGGATGAATTATAACGAAAAATCTCATATCTGAACAATCAGTTGTATGGGAGCTATAGGTTATAGTTATCCGATCTTTTTAATTTTCACTGTAAGTTTTCTGTTGATAATTATTGAAAACTGTGCGGAATTTCCTGTTCCCCGCTATATAAATGGAGGCGTTATAACGAAAAATTTTATATCTAAACAATCAGTTGTATGGGAGTTATAGGCTATAGTGAACCGATCTTTGTAATTTTCACTGTAAACATTCTGTTGATAATGGGTGCAAGTGCTGCAAAATTTCA